GATCTAGTAGCATTTATGCATTAAATATTCCTAGTTCTTACATTTACAATACTTTGTTGATATCAATTTAACCTACATTTCAGAGCTAACTGCTGATGTATAAATCTAACATTACTATGTTTCATTATATAATATTTTAAATTAGTTAATCTTTCGGTTCTGCATACAATTATTTTAACAGGAACCATGCTATGAAAGAACTACAGAATAATTTCAATCATGTTTTGGGTGACTCATCATTCATTCAATAAACCTTTATTGAACAAATTTGTGATTTCATGTGTTGACCCTTGTGTGAAGGCGCACCTCATTCCTTCCAGCTGAGAGTCTTTTCACTAGGCTTGAAGCCCTGTGAGGGCATGCATTCCCAACTTTGAATGCAGTGCCTGGCATGTATGAAACATGTCATAAGTATTTGTTGGATTAAAATAATGAAATATTTGTTATAATCACCTCAAATGTCAATGATGTTGAAGGGGATCTTCAGTTTCAAGGGGACATTGAAATGAGACAATCCTAGATCATTGAAATTACCACCCCAAAACTTATTTTTCTCCAAAGCTTACCTGTCTCACTGTGAATGGGTACATGCAGTTTCTGTACCTATTTAGAATCCTGTAAGTATTCTCACAAGAATCTCCATACCTCCAGACCATGTCTTTTTCCAGAGTTTTACAACCTGTATCTGAAACCTTGTTCTATAGTTAGAAGGAAAGGAGATTTACTGTTTGCTTATAATGTTATGGTATCTTTGAAAGGTAGTTGATTTTTTAGTAGCTAAGATTAATTCAATGTATTCATCCCAAGCAACTTTGCATTCAAATATTTTTTCTTTTGGAAAAAAAGATTGTAATCATAGTAGAGTGATCAGGGATATTTTATCCCTGATCAGGGAACCTTTAATTAACAAACAAAAGACAAATATATAAAAAGACATATATAAAATAAGTGTTCCCATTTCTAGTCTTGTGACTTTCTTCCACATTCATTAAAAAGAGAGAGAGAGAGAGAGAGAGAGAGAGAGAGAGAGAGAGAGAGAAATCTCAGCAAGTCAGGTTCCAGACATATTTTGGGTTCAAATACAATCTGTAATTTTACATTAAGCACTTTTTCTTACTAAAGGAAGATATGAATAATTCTCACGTCCCATTTATCCCTCATGCTGCTACCTGTGTAACAAATTTATCTAACCTGAAGTACACTTTTGCCAGAGGGTATAGCTAAATGTTTGCTGAGTATAAAATTAAATTCCTATCCAAATGATGCAGGTAATGTGGCTTAAATTTTTTTAAGTTAGCACTTAAAAATTAAACTGAGTGTATCACTGTGGGGAAGGGGTGCATAGAGAGTGGGGAAAGGGCCAGGTTGAGAGTCAGGGTTCAAGGTGTGAATTCTGTTTTTTCTCATTAGTGGTAAAATGACAATAAGCAAGTCATTTGACTTGTGTAAGTATCAGTTTTCTCATCTGCAACATGACAGTTCCTGATTCAGATGGCTGTTGTGAAGATGCTATGAGCTATTGTGATTGTGTGTCTTTTTTGTAAACTGTGAGGCAACATATATTTTCTGATTTTTTTCCCTCAATGACAAATCAGAAATAATGTACAATGTAAGTGTTTTTTATTAACTTAGAATTATGCTTTCATGTGTGTTTGATCCAGAAGGGACTTTACAGATCATCAATTTTATCTTCCCCTCTCTTAGCTGTTGAGAATACTCAGTTAGCAATGAGTCAAACAACAGAACCAGTGACAAAACTGTAGACAGAATTCAGTTTTCTGAGATGAATTAGAAATGTCTGCAAAATACATTATTTTTAATCAGTGTTTGTATCTTAGAGCTAAGCATGTCATGCAGAACATAGGCTAACTGTAGGAAAGATGATTTTTGTTAAACATTAGATCTATCACCAGCTGCTTCTCTGAGGCTATCATCAAGATCATTATTTCTTGTGTTTCTACTTGTCAAAGTTAAGCAGAGAACGTTTCTGTGTTCTGTAACTCTTTTATGCATCTCAGTTCAGTACTTGCCCTAAACTGTAAATATAGCCATAAGAAAGCCTTAATTAGATAATATGGCAAATTTGTAGCCTTGCAGTCGTTTATATTATGTTGACCCTGTATCAGCAAAAAGCAAGATATTCGTCATGTATTCAACGAATATTTCTTCAGCTCCTAGTAAGTGTAATAAAAATAGCTAACATGCATTGTGCTTTCTGTGTGCCAGCTTTATGTGTTTTATATGTAATACCTCCTTTAAAGTTCACATCTACTCCATGATGTAGGTGTTATTAGCACAGTTTTGTTAATAAGAAAATTGAGACTCAGATAACTTAAATAGCTTATCCACTATTAGAAGCATAGGAGGAGGCAGAGCCCAAGATTAAAACTCAGGACACTTGGTTGGCTCCAGAGTTTGTACTGTTAACCACTTGGTTACTAGATGCTACTAGATGTTAACTGTGTTGGGAGCTGCCGTTAAAGCAGTGAATGAAACAGACAGGATCTAGATCTTCGTCAAAATAGACAATAGATCATACAGTTCTCAACTTTTTCTGTCTGACTTATTTTGCTTAGCATGATATTCTCAAGGTCCACCCATGTAGTAGTCACAAGTGGCTGTGTTTCATCTATTGTTATGACAGAGTAATATTCCATTGTATTACTCTTATGTACCACATCTTCTTCATCCAATCATCTCTCAAAGGACACTTCAGCTGTTTCCGTATCTTGGCCACCATGAATAATGCTGCAGTGAACATAGGGGTACATATACCTATATGGATAAATGTCAATTTTTTCAGGTAGACACCCTAAAGAGGGATTATTGGGTCATATGGTAATTCTAGTCTTAATTTTTTTTGAGGAATTACCATACTATTTTCCCATGTAAAACTGAAAGCAACAAACGAACAAGACAAACAAACAAAAACTCATAAACAGAGGCTCCAGTATAGTGATTACCAGAGGGGAAATGGGCGGGGGGGAGGAGGTAGAGATCGGTAAAGGGCATCAAATATATGGTGATGGAAGGAGAACTGACTCTGGATGGTGAACACACAATGTGATATATAGATGATGTATTATAGAATTGTACACTTGAAACCTATATAATTTTATTAACCAATGTCACCCCAATAAATTTAATTAAAAAAGGGCAATACAGAATGTAAACAAGTGCAGAATGATTGGTGTGGCAATAAGTTCAAGGCGAGAGTAATCAGTTTCTGGTGTAGTAATGGCTGTAGCTTCAAACAAGAGTAACGGATAAGGCTTTCCTAACCACTTATGACATTGTAAATCAGCAGAAGCTTAACCCAAAACATACAGACAGAACAGTAACCACCATACTTGGGGATTAAAGGAGCATGGATAGTTAAGTTTAGCTGGCATGACTGGCTCAGAGACACTGCTTTTTCTCATGCAAAGTTATGTGAAACAGAACCATGAGGTCCATGTCTCATAGAGAATGAGTTAAACTCATTCTTTCAGCTAAAGCTAAAAGTAGAAGAAATCTGATTATCGTGTTCTTCAAAGCAAGCCTAAAAAGTTTGTTTTTGTCCTGAAAGCAATAGAAAGTTGCAGTTAGTTGTGAGCAGACAGACCAATTAAAGTAATATTTTTAAAACATGGCTTTAACTATGGGTTATGTATGCAGAAGAGAGAAAATGTGATCAATCAGAAGCTGTTACAAAAATATCTGAGGCCATCAGTGAAAATCAACCGGAAAGATCAGATGTGAAAAGAATGAATATTGTTTTGTTTGTGTAATTGTAATTTCTTAGAATTGAATAAGAGTATATTCTTATGCAAGTACTTCAAAGAAATTCATATTAAAATTTTAGAATTTTTTCTGAACTCGTCTGTAAGTCTACTTGTTCAAAAATGGAAGTGAGACAATAGATGTGTGTTAGAGTTAAGGATGTACATTTCCAGAAATCACTCTAAGGCTTGTTGATGCTTTAAGAGTTAATATTGCTAACTAAAAAAATAATTACCCCTTCTTCATTCTTGAAACCAAGGTCTATTTTGTCAATTTGCCAACAAATAAAAGAGTAATTTTCTCCTTTAAATATTTCAGCTATCTTGTATTCAAGACGCCTAAAAACATAAATAATGTATTTGAACTTATAAAATGATAGAACATAACTCACCAACAAACTGAAATATACACTATTTCCTTATTGTCTAAGTGTTACCCAAAAAAAAAAGAAAAAAAGCGGGGGACAAGCACTAGTAACGCCTTCGATAGTTGGAATGTGGCAAGACTTGTATACATATATAAAATATAGGTCCTTGATAAGCATCTGGAGATCAGACATGAAGTTAATGATCTTATTAGTAATACCTTTAATCTAAGCATTGCACTTTATTATGGATGAATGGTGTGTGTGTGTGTGTGTGTGTGTGTGTGTGTGTGTGTGGTTTTAAGTCAAATGCAGTAGAAAAATAAAAAGATGATGAATACTTAGTGTTATCTAACTATAACCAAAGCTATTTAATAAAACCAATTTCTATCTTACCTAGGTATGACATCAGAGATGATTATACGCTGAGGATTAAAAAGGCCATGAGTGTAGATGAAGGCACTTACATGTGTATTGCCGAGAATCGGGTTGGGAAAGTGGAGGCCTCAGCCAGCCTCACAGTCCGAGGTAAGAGACTTAAGAAGTGAAATATAATCCAACCAGCAGACTAATGTTTGATTCAATTGGTGAGTGAACTCACAAGCAATATAATAGCTTACCGTGTTTTATTATTATAAGGCCTACATTTTGTGTCCCCTCTATTATTAATTGAATACAATTATATTTACATTTAAATTCAAAGGGATGATCATTTGAAGTGATTTTTTTATTTAATAAATATGATTTAAAAATAAATGACTTACACTAATCTTTTATATTTCCATTGCTTTGAACTATTTACTGTTTTTTAAATGTCACTGCTTTCTGTTTGCTAGTTTGTCACACTATACTAGTAGAATACTGTTTTAAAATTATCTTTATTTCAGCATTCAAAAAGCAACCTGAAAAAAAAAAAAACAACCAAAAAAAACCCAACATAAAACAAAAAAAAACAATGGATACTGATTCCAAAGGTGAAAAATGGATACAAAGGAGCTACCACATTGAGAAAATCTGATTTAGAGAGTGATTTGTGAAGTTCATTGGCCTTAAATAATTGAAATAGTCAGTGCTGCTTCTGTAATAACTTTCACTTTCTGGGTGTCATGCACTTTCTCAGTCATGGAATGATGTTGGTTTATAGACTTCCTGGAATTGCTTATAAGGGAGAGAAAGCATTACTTAACCCTCCAGTGAGCTAGAGTGAATTGCCTGGCTTCCTGGTGGTTCTTGGTGATCCAGTGAGTAAATTACTCAGCCCAACGTACCAAGTAGCACATTGTGGACAACTGCACATACTGTAGCCACATAGACATTATCCACGGCACTATTTACACTCCAAGAAGTTAAAAAAAACCAGGCAAGTGCATAACCTGTTCAGTCTTTCAGTCTTTCTTGCACTCCCATGGCTGACGCGTCCTCCTTCTGGTAAGGAGGTTGGCTTCCTGTTGTCATCCAGGCCCCAGTTACATCTCCTCCCGTTTAGTCATACCTCTCACCCTTGTGCAGCTTTGCTCCCAGGAGTTTCCAGAAGATTAAGACAAAGGTTTGGAGGAATTTGGATTGTTGAGAAATGTGTCAGGGATTCTCAGGTTGATCCTCCACCTGGTAAGACAAATTATTTTTGTCATATCTACAATTTGGACATCAAATCTTAAAACAATAACAACAACAACAAAAAACCCCGGATCTTCCTCCAGGTAACTATTAGGAGACATATGCACGCTGGAGACTTGGAAAATATTAGTGATTTCCATACTTCCCATACTTCCATAATTCTCCATTTCTAATCCACTTGGTTTACTTTTTTCCCCCATTCTGGTGTGAACTGAGATACAAAACAAATTTAGACAAAATTTGCAAGCTAATTGCTTAAAAACATTTTCATTCCACATTCATTAACGGATCCTGAAAAGCTATGATTGTATGCCAATAGACTATATATGCTGATTGTATATGATCAAAATCTGACCCTTTGTTAAGCCTCTTTATTGTAATCAACCATCTCTGTAGGTGATTTTATGTTTGTTTTTCACTAGGCAGCCCTTTGCAAAAACAATTAACTTGACCGAATTTCCCCCAAAGTTTGTTTGCTTGGTTTGTTGTGTTTTTTTTTTTTTCTGAAGTGAATGAAAAAAAAATAAACAGTCAACTGAGAAACGTTCCATTCAAAAAAATATTTGCTGACTAAACAAATGGTTAGGAAATGTGAGGAGTTGTTTGTTTGTAGTAACAGCAGGGTTCCTTTATACTTGAATGCTTGAGTGAATGAGACTTGAAGTGGCCTGTTTGCTTTAAGATCTTTCCCAGCTAATTGTTTTCATAATTTGTTGAAAGTTTCAGGTTTAACATTTCGTTTAACAAAGCATGCTCCTCATTATGGATGTTTGAAGCTAACTTTCAAAACTAATAGAAGGAATTGTTTGTTTTCAAGAGGATTTTTTTTTTTAAATCAGCAAACTTTAAATGGTCTCTTCCCTAATCTGTGTCCTGTAGATGGATTAGAGAGTTTAATCTGTGCGGTATGTATTTATTACTTGTCTAACACTGAAACCTCAACACAGGGTTATAGAAAAAAAATATCCATATATAATAGAAGGTGGAGTAAAATATTGTTTTAAAATATATTTTATCATTGGGAAAGCAATTGGTATCTCTTATGATAAGAGGTTACAGGAAATAAAACATAATATCTATGACTTTTATTTTTTTTCTGTGCTCATTTTTCTATACACATAAATTAAATATTCAGTACTTTCTTGGATTGTTTTATTCGAACAGGGTCAGACCACGAGGCCACATCTATTTTCATCCATTTAATGCAGGGAAACAGTTTAGTTTAATTTGCTGGTTTTGAAAGCATCCACCTGCTGTTTTCTTTTTTTGTTTGTTTTTTGTTTCTTTTTCAGGATGAAATGTTGCTATGTAACAAAGACAAGAGATTTTATTGTGATGTTTCTGCTAAAATTTTGTAGTGATATTCAGTTAGCTAATTGGGGAAAGGGAAAGAAGTTTTATAGTCAAAACCTGAAACAGACAGTTACTCACTTGTTTTCCATTTCAAACATATGGTGAAAATAGAGTATAAAATTAAACTTAACCACAAGTAGCTGCTTTTGCTGACTTGACAAACATAAAATTGGAAAGAAATAATGCTAGACAAAAAACCTCCCAGCACTTAATATTCTATTCAAATAATTCATGATCAATAGAACTTTTTTAAATGGCTCCAAAATTGGTTAAGACAAACTTCATATTTGTAAACACAGTTTTCCTCCTTTTTTTCCGTTGCTCAAATTGGCTTTGCATAAATTAAGACTTCACTGGAAAAACTATCTTGCTTCTAGAGCAATAAACTTAATTCTTTTAAAATTACACTAGACTAAATGGAAGAGAAATATATTTTATTTCTTTAAAACATGATTTCTCACTATGATTTCTTCTTTTTCTTTTTTTAATATCACAGACTCAAAATACCTTTTTGTTTCTAAAGGAAACTTTATGTTTGAGATTCAGCTGGGGGTGGCACCTGAAAAACGCAAGTTCAAAATGAAAGACAAAGTTATTTTTCTACGGAACATTGGCAAAATCAAGAGAAATCTTGTCAGTTAGACTAGGCCAAAACTATATGATTTTGGTCTGTTGTTTTGTTCTTGGTTGTTATTTTTATGTGCACTACCCACCCCACCCCCCACCAAAAAAGTAATCCTTGTGCATTGGACAACTTACTTCTCTTATTATAGTAAACCCACCATAGATTTTAGAATACACCAGTATCCCTAAGTTCAAATTTTCACACGGCTGCTATAATTACTTTATACTTCTTCAAATTGTCTTAACCTCCTCCTTTTAATTGTGAATAATATTATAAGACCATGAATTTCATATAGAAGCAACTCCAGTATGTTTCAGAGGTTGCATGAAACTAGTATTATGATATTTGTTGAATGAATGAATGCCTATAAATACGGTTTCAATGGCCATATCTATCTCACCATGCTTAATGAGATCATCAAGACAAAAGTACCCATATGTTCTAAAGTCACATTTTATATGATTCAGAGATTTATTCACTGGGATATGGATGACATACATTTGCAAATAAATTTATATTTTTAATGTAAGATTTCATAAAAGTTCAAATGCTGCTAAATATATTCCTTCCTCGTTTGAATAACAGAGCCATGTTTTATATTTGTCTATCGCTTTTATATAAAGTGGTTTACTATCTAAATTGATCGACATTATTCTTTTTAAAGGAAGTATTATTAAGCCTGTGTGTGTCTCTTACAATTTCTGTGCATTAATCACAGGGGCAGCCTATTACTACCTATTTTAGTGATTGAAAGTTACGGTATAATAAAAAATAATAATTTGTTGAAGCAGCAGTGTGAAAGCCATTCCCAGTGTGAATGGGAATCAACTTGTCAGTCACTATTTCCTGCCCTCTGCCAACATAAGAAAAATGCTTAACAGTAGTTAGGGAGCTACTCAGTTGAAATCTCTAAGGATCCTCCAACCTATTTGTTATATTTTCATCCACCCTGTCCAGGGATGAAAAGGGATGTGATCTTAACTTATTACTGGCTGAAAAGCAGCGTCTGGGCTTTTCCGCAGTCCTTATAATGGTTCTGATTAACCATGCTTAAAATCCAATTGCTATTTAAATCAGACAGTGAGGCCTTCTTTTATTGACATGACATTTGCTAGTCTGTGACTTGAATAGTTATATTCATCAGGTTCTTAACTTGGTGGTAGCACAAGACTGTTTAAAAAAGATCTTTGAAATTGTAGCTATTGTAAGTGATGCTAAGACTTTCCATAAAATCTCTCAAATTGCTTATAGATAACGTTGGAATGCAAACTAATTATTTTCTTATGAGAATTACATTTATAACTTTCAGTTTTATCAAACTTAGACATCCTGTTCAAATTTGAATTGCCAGACTAGAAATCACTCTACTGTCCATACTTAAATGTAACATTACACATCATGCATTCTGATAATTTTCTTTTTTTTTTTTAATTTCTTTTTTATGTTCTCACCACACCATTGTAATGTCTACAGCTCGCCCTGTTGGTAAGTAGCCATCCTTCTATCCATTAGCATGACTTTATAAAATGCTTCATAACTCATGCACAGTAGAATTTGATGGAATGAAATATATTTATTTATTCACCTATGTTAAAATGTGACTTGAGGGAGAAGGCTGCAAAAGTTGCTCCTGATCTTTTCATCCCTTCGATAGATGATTGTGTACTTACTAATGAATAGGTAACAATTTTCACCTAAAAAAATATATGAATCATTAATGTTATAAACTGCTAATTTTTCTTAAAGAGAATAATACAGTAATTCCCTTTTCTTGTATGTATTAAATAATCAATTATTAGTTATGTTCGATATTCAAAAAATTCGTTTCATATGAATTATGCCAAGAAGTTCTATTACTTTATTCCCTTCTTCCATTTTAAGCCGCTTGGAGTACTTGCTTTTCTCAGGGCATTTTTAATGGCTGCATACTTATTATCTGCATGCATATTTGAACAAAATTCAGTAGAATGCTTCAAATTATTATAAGTAGATGCTTCCACTGAGAGGAAGAAAAGGGGGGAATGAGCTATGTTCTTTTGCATGAAAACTTTGTGGTTTAAATACATTTCATTCTTCATTTGGCTTTGCAAAATTGATGTCAACAGCTTTCGCTTGCAGAGATTTAAGTAGTAATTATTTGTAAACATTTGGAAGATAAATGATTTTCAAATTCATTGATTTAATAACCTTTCTGCATATCTTAAAGTTTAGCCTCACCTACCAACATGTGTTTAAATAAAAAAAATCTCGGCAATTGTGCTATGAGTAAATGAATAGATGGATGCATAAATGGATAGGTGGGTGAATGAATTAATGTAATACATTGCTTCTTTAATATGCCAAGAGATATTCAGTAAGTTAATCAAGTTAACATAGCTTTATAAATGGTCCATGTAACTTCAAAAGCTTTCTTAATATACTGACTTGACATTGTTGACATTTGATGTATACTGGTCCAAACTGAGAACTTTTTCTTCCTATTGGTTGAAACATTAACAACCTGTATTGATATATAGTATATACTTACATGGATGGATAATACAGTAAATAGAGCTTTAATTTCCCCATCTGAGTTTCTGCTCTGCCGTTTGTGAGCAGTACTTCCCGTCAGTTATTGAATGTCCCTGTTCCTCAGATGGATCAGAATAATCTAGAGAGAATAATGGAGAGAATAATACTGGCTTATCAAAACTGTTGTAGTAATGAATTTAGTTCAAGATTGATCATTTACATTAAAACATTTTGTATGCCAACATTGGTTAACATATTCCTAGTTTCTGAGACCTATATTCATTCACATTTTAATATTTTTGAAATAGAGGTATGGCTTACAATTAATTTGAACGCAAATATCAGGCATTTTTTGGAAACAATTATTAAATTGGTCATGCTTTTTACGGTTGATGTTAGAAAATTGAGGAATATGTTGTAGTTTTTAAGCCTCATTTTTTTGTATCTATAAGAATTCATATTAATGTGATAACTTTGCATATTTGTGGTATGGCATCTAAAATTAAGAAGTAAATGGGAAAGAATGAGATAAACAACTTTACAAATTAACAGGATAAATTGTAATCTTTATATATTGATTTAAATTATAGATCTTTTTATGTGGAAACCTTATGGCAATAAACCATGACGACTTGCCTTATGTCATTTCACAAGTTCCCAGAACATACAACAATATGTTAATAACTTCCAATATATTTAAAACTCATAAATAAAAAAATACATTGATTAGAAAATGTTATGTACACAGAGTATTGAGATGCATTTGTCACGTACAAGGCGTTTCAGAGTTATTTCTGTTTCTTATTCTTGTTTGAAATGATTTCTTAAATTCCCATTGGACTGGAACTAAAGAATAGCTTCTTGACACGTTGTACTTTATTCAGGGAAAGTCTGTCATTTCATAAATCTATCTCAAATGACTTATGACAATGTTCAGAAATTTGAAGAACTATACTTTAAATTTGACAACTACTATTAATTTTCAAAATTGAATGTTGGATATGTTTTTATTGGATCACCAAGGAAGAGACTGAAAATAAGGAAATTGGCCTGTTTTTTCTTTGCATCAACTTATTACATCAATTTTAATTCAGGAACTATAGATGTGTCAACTTTTTTGTAAGGTCAGAAGGTACAAATCAAGTAAAATCAAGAATTAAATATTGAAACAATTGAAAACTACATTAATATTAATATTTGTTAGTGGACTAAAATGTGTTTTCAACTTTGAAGCTCTTGCCAATAACCTTAGGGGTCTTCTATTATACAAAGTAAAAGCCACAGAAAAGGGAGCAAATCCAGCATTTCATTTCAGAATAAATTAGCTGAAGATATATATACCAAGTATATAAAATTTAGAGAAAATTTAGGGCGCAGTTCCTGTCTAAAGCTTTCAAATGAAAATTAAAAATATATGAAGATTCTGGAATACTTCTACATTCAGAAGGCAATCTCTACGTTACATACCAGATGAAACTGGGTAGCCTGTGTGGAAAGTCCATTTAGAAGCCATTATTGACCCCCTAATCATCCAAATGGATGATTCCTACAAGCTGCGTTTCAGTTAAAGAATTGGAAATCCTATGCAATTTACAGTTGGAATAAACACCTTCTGGGCTGTACTTTGGAGAGTATAAGAATAACTCCTGATTTAGAGGCTCCTCAGTGTAGAAAATTTTACTGGAAGCAGACAATTGCATATGTTCCAAGGGAAGAAAGTGTTCTCCAGATATTACTTACTCATCTTCAGTGTCATCGTCTTCTCAAAAAGAGCCCTTTAATCTAAATTCCTTATTGGCTGGTTACCACAAAACCTAGACAAATGACCCTTTGCTAATTAAAAATCCACCAGCCTTTCCTGTGGTTTTTCTTTTTACTGTTCCAAAGGCATCCTCTATATGAGAAGCAAAAGCACATCCTAGGACACAGTTAGCTATGAATGCTGAAATAGTCATTTGTTTATTCAGAAAACTCTTCTGATGAGGGAACTGACAGAAGAAAATGATCTAAATAGGGACAGATATCTTGCTTCCTATACCCATCTGTCTTATTTTCAACTGGAAATCTTTCCGAGGCTTAAAAATAAAAAAAGAACATCTATTTTGGAGATGGGCAACACATTTTTTCCTAGCACCAACTCAAAACATGATGAGTCATTTGGAAAAGAACTGTCAAATGTACCAGCTGCCTTGCTCATAAAGTTGAGCCCTGCTCCGTTTTGTATCTTGTATACCATATGCTGGATGTTGGGCGCCTCCAGTATGGAAACCAAAAGCTGAGTATACCAGGTGACACTGGTGTAAAACATCAAACACAAACTGACAATACACAACTTGATGGAAACGTCTAAGTATTTCCTAATTTAGGGACTGAAAAGTATGTTTCCTTTTGATAGAAGAATATAATTGGCCACATAGGACTTTATAAGTATTGAGAAATATGTATATATATTTGGGGCAAAATTTCCATCTTTTACTATTATTATTATTATTATTATTATTATTATTATTATTATTACTTTAAAGAAGAAGCCACTCTTCTAACAGAAATTGTAGGGACATTTTTTATACATTTAACTGCTTAAATGCAAAAATTAAATATGTTTTCATTGTAGAAATTTTTGTTTTGAGCTGAAGTACAGCTCAGTTGTAAAATGTTCTGAAATGTTTTATTGAGGCCACCAAGAAGTTCAATAAAAATAGAGTGATTAAAAAATTTATTCAGGCAAATTATAAAGCAGACGTTGCTTAAAAAGTAGTGCAACTGATATTTTCAGCACCACCATCCTCCACCCCAGCTTTAGACAATTTGGATATTTTCCAGCTTTTTTTGTTTTGTTTTATTTTGGGGCCTTTTTCTTTGTTTGCTTGTTTGTTTTTGTTTTTATCTTAAAACTCGTGGGTATTATATATGAACCCTTTCGTGTCAAGGTCCACTTTTGTGCAGCAGGTATCTTGAGTGTGTCTTAGAAGGAAAACTATGTTTTTCCTCCCTGCAGCCTTTCTTCTTTGGACAAGCTGTTTCCCCCATGACCTGAGATGATCACCTCCCTCTTATGAATGCTGAATGTTGCCTGCACATGGTGCTAATTAACTAAATAAAGTCCCTTGTAATTATTATTAAGCATCACGTTTTTCATATATTTTTATTAAGTCGCAGGTAAAAATTACTTTCTGTTTTGTCTTGTATGTTCCAACAGAGTTCCCATAATGTGAAACACTTAAAAGGCCTTGTGTTAATGCTAATTTTTAAAGTGAAAAACATGTCCTGGTGGCATCTCATGCTTGGCTGGTTGTAGCCATTGACTTTGTTCTCTTGAAAGGGCCTTATGTGTTTGACAGTGTCTGTTCCTTGTCTCTAAATTGGAAAGTCGGTATAAAATTATTGTCATACTTTCTTTCTCTCAAACCTTGGTGAAAAGGTTCTCTTGTCTTGGTATTGAATGGTACTGTAGTGAAGTCTGAGGCTTCCAGGATATTTTTGTCCTTGGCTGGGTTGTTCTTTTATTGTATGAATACAAATGTAGTCCCTTCTTCCATAACTTTGCTGGGTTATCTTAGTCCTGCTCACTCTGTGTCTACTAGTCCCAGGACAAAACAAGCCCCTTGAATCTTTATATTCATGTTCTAATTTACACGATTTCAAAAATGTTTTCTTCTGTTTTATCTCTGAATATTATTTTCTGTTTCACTTCTTTACTTCATGAGTTATGTTGGCTTTCCTTTGTCTCAACTCTATATTTGTTAACTTCTCTATGATAATTTTAAAGCCATCATTTTTATTTCATATTGTATGATTTATCGATGCCTATTTATGACCTCCCTTTTTCAATGGCAACTATTATTTTTTTCTTGTTTCTAAAGTAGATTTCATTTCTTTATTTTTATTTTATCTTTTGTTTATCTCCTTGCTAAGCTTGACTACAGCTTTCTTCATCTCCACTTTTCTTTAGCCCCTTGATCCCTTTTTGAGAT